CCGCACTGACCGTTACCTGTCTGTCCTGCTCCCAGAGGGCTCCAGGCAGTGGGGAAGGAGCCCAGAGGGGAACTGGGAGAGTGTGGCCGGTTTTGTCTTCTTTTGGGGGGACAGGTACTGATACTTAGTTTGTCTGGTACCTGCAAGATGTACAGGTGTTGAGGGCGAAGAAGCAGTTCACTATAATAGGTCTTTCAAGGAACAAGTCAGGAATGAAATAATAAAATAAAATAGAAACGAGACCCATCGTGATGGACAAAGAAACTGAGAAGAACCCTGAGACACCGCCATGCTGACGGGGCTGGGAGAAGACAGAAAATGAATGGGCAAGCAGAGCAGAAGGGGAGGGATGAGAGGAGAGGAAACTGTTTCTAGGAGGAGTCAAGTATCAGCTGCCACGTTCCAGGGAGAGAGGGTTCGCCAGGAGGCAGCATTTGAAAACAAGTCCTTTTTCCTGGTTTTGTTTTCACTGAATCGTTCAGCTTAACGATTTTTACTTCTTTACAAAACAAAGAGGCCTCTGCCATCCCGGAATCATTCCTCTACCCTAAACCACTGAACAGATTCGTTCCCTTCCCAGGCCTCATCATCGATGCTTTTGGAGAACTGCGAGACCAGCAGGAGCAAGTGCGGGAAGACATGGAGGTAACGTTGCTAACGATCTTCCCGGCTCCATTTCTGTGTCTCACAGCAAATGAACCTATTTTAAACAACAGGTCCTGCCATTATTACCTACCTAGGGCCAGCCCGAGGCAAAACTACCAATAAAACGTGTTTCCCATTCCTGTCCTCTTCCCGGTTCCCGCCTCCCTGCTCTGGCGCCTGGAGCTCCGTGTCCCCCCTAGTCCACCCTCCCCGGCCTCCAGCGTGAGGGCGAGTAGATGACTAAGACCTGAAGCATTGGAGGGAGAAATATTTTCAGTGTCTCTCAATTCAAGCAGATATCACCGCTGTCTTCCCACCGGCCTGTAACGTCACGCCCACTAACGCCCCTGTTCCTTTCTAGACTAAATGTTTCATCTGCGGGATTGGCAATGACTACTTTGACACCACCCCTCATGGTTTTGAGACACACACGTTACAAGAGCACAACTTAGCCAACTACTTGTGAGTACGCTTGGTCCACGGGGGGCAGGAGGGGTAACGTCAACGGTTATGCCCTCTAGTTGCCCAAAGTTCAGTCCTTGCTCTTTCTCTGAGAAATAGTGGCGATCGGGGAAGAACCAGGAGAGCCCACGGGTCGTGTCTTTGTCCAGGGGCTCTGCCTGCTCTGGGCAACAGTCAGTCCCTCAACCTGGAATGAGATGCCATCCCATCTCAAGGGCACACAACTCCAACAATTTTTCTCTTACTGGAATTTTCTGATCGTGATACAGATTTTTAAAATCCTAAACACAGGCAAAGTGTGTAGCCCCACCTGGACTTACGGCCACTGCCCTGCTGCTCTGTCTCCCTTTCAGCAGAACTAAAATGGGACCATGCTCACCGTCCCCAGCTCTTCTGTCCCCACTCTCCTTTGCGCCCACCCCTTGTCCAGGTGGCTGCATGTCGCTGGGTCCCGCGGGGCGTGGGCAGCCCTCCCACAGAAAGCCCAGGCTCTGAGGGAGCGGGAGACGGGGCGCGTTTTCACACGCCCTACCCCAGCGCCTAAGGCCTGGCACCCAGTAGGCAGATAATGTGTCTTTCACTTTTTCTAAGGTGAAGCATTCGCTCAAGAACAAGTTGTTCAGAGCCTGTTACATGCCGCGGACTGCCTATGAAACTCATGACTTACAGATTTATAAAGAGTATAGATTACCTGACAATTCAGATTCTGTAAGTGATCGTGTTCAAGGAAAATAACTGCTCCCTGGCCTACCCCTCCCTCCTATGTCTACACTGCATTTAGAAAATCCGAATCTTTCTTTAAGATGGAACAGGCACAGCCTTTGGGAAAGGTGTTCATGTCAAAGAGAAGTAGCAGAAAGGTGACTCTGGCCGGCCCGCCCGCAGGCTGGGCAGCCCTGTCCCTGCGCATCAGGAGAGCGTGCATCTTAACGGAGGGATCAAGGTGGACGTCCATAGAAGGCGAGCTCAGGGCCCTAGGTCAGGACCCGTGAACAGCGAAGAGTGAAAGGGTATTATGTATCTGGGTTGGGACCCCCCCTTCCATGTCTTCCCCTAGCCCTCTATATTATAACAGTCTATATTCTACCTCTGTGCCCCTCTAGCCGTGAGCTTGAGGGGAAATAATACATCTGATTCATGTTTGAATCCTCCCCCCCCCCACCCCCAATGCTACTCTCTCAAATAAATGTGCTAGGGAAGGAATAACGTCCTACATGCCTGAGTCTCAAACAAGGTAGGCTACTGGCCTCGTTTCTTAGTTGGAGGAAGGAAACTAGTATGTTCGTAACCTCTACTGTGGGCCACACTCTGAAGCTACAAACCTAAGGATGCCCTAAGGGCTCCGGCTCGCCCCACCCTCAGAGGAGTGTTATTTCCATGTTTCCTTTCTCGCCGACCTTTTCCTGAAGGGCAGCGTCTCTGAGGTCTGGTAATGCGAGCTGAGCCTCCCGGGACACTGGTGTGTTCCAGACACACTTGACCCCCAGACACAGCACAGTCAGAGCCGGTGAAACCACAACTGTATTTCCGGAAGAATCAGAACAACTTAAATACTTTCCAAAAATTCCATAACCTTGATACACATGGTTTCAATTCTACGTTTTTACAAGCTGGTAAGTTGGCCTACGAAAAACTGTAGGGCAAGAGGCTGGGTAACCATTTTATTGTCTGCATTAGGATATTTTTAAACAATAAAATGGTAGCCAGAATGCCTCCTCACAAGGGATCTTAGCTCAGGGTTGGGGATGGTAAAAAGGGATCTCTCCTCATGAAAAGGCTAATTTTGAGATGAACGTATATATTACTAGAAAATGACAGCCTGTGTCATTCTGCCACTTTTCCCCAACGTGGAAAGGCCTGGTAGACAGCGTGACACTAAAAAGCATATCCGAGCCCCTGCTCTGGGTCCTTTGAGTAAATGAAATTGGGCTTCCTAATTGAAGCATCTAATATTGTCTTATTCTCATTTATTATACTCTTCTTCCTTGTCCCAGGTTCTTCCTGATGTATTTGATTAACAAAGACGAGACAGAGCACACGGGTCAGGTGAGGAAAAAACGTTTAAGCATCATGCCCCACGGCAGAGCAGGGGCTCTCTGACGGGGACGGATGACCCCATCAGTCTCTTACATGCCTGTTCCCACCATCCCTTTGTGACTTAAGCCAAAATTCCAGGGCCACTCCCATCTATTCCACATGGCCTCCTGGTTCTCCTTCTCAGCATTTTCCAAACCCTTGTGGTTACTACTTCAGAATTAAATAGCTGGAGGTTGGGGAGCACGGCAGAGAAAAAGACGAGGAGGAGCTGAGTGGGCGGCGATGAGAGAGAGGACCCGAGGACCTGAGTGGGGGTGCCTCGGGGCAGGGGTGGGTGTGCGTATGAATGAGAGTACCTGTCAAAGGGATTCTGTGGCTAGGTATGAAGAGAAATGTCAAGACAGGGAACGTGGGAGGAAGAGGCAGATTATCAAATGCTCAAACATCACTGGATTTGTAGGAAGTCTTCACAGCGCAAACATGTGAGAGAGAGGCAGCCGGTGGCCGGCTCTGGCTTTAGCTCCCAGGCATGTGCCTGAGCCGCGCGCAGTGCTGCCTCGTCCTGCGTTCTTCTGCCAGTTACAAATGACACGGCATCAGCCTATGGCTGATCTTCAGGTACTGTTAGTGGCTATCGCTGACCTGGTTTCAGTGTTTGGGGTGGTGGGCGGGGGGGGGGGGACCTCTTGCTCCCAAAATGGGCTGGGAATAGAACAAGAAAGAGCCTCATACAAATCCGTATCAACATTTCTAAAGGCAGACTCAGAGCAAGCACAGCGTTTTAGAAACTGGGCTTCCTGTGGTTTAGAAAGAAGCACCTCTTTTCCTCTCCCATTGCAGGAATCCTACGTCTGGAAGATGTACCAAGAGCGGTGCTGGGATTTCTTCCCAGCGGGGGACTGCTTTCGGAAACAGTATGAAGACCAGCTTGGATAAACGTGAACGAAAGCCACGCCACAATTCTGGACTGTCAAACGTGAAGTTAAAACCCTCCTTTTATACTTCTGCAACATTTCTGAAAGGTGACATTTTCTAAATGCCTCCCTTACAACAAGAATGAGTTTGTTTAAAATCTGTGTGGTATTTTGGAATTGATTTGGCTCTTGGTGCCCAATGGACACATACCCTGTGGGAGATAACCTTTCAAAATGTTAACTCAAGGACTCTCTCGGTGAATGTCTTCAAGTTCTAGTGCAACTTGTTTGTCGGGCTGGCATCACTGGGAAAAGGACTGGAAGTCTTGAATCCACATGACAGGAGCCACCAGTGACTCATGATCTGAACCACAAAAATTATTTTAACTGCAGCCTAATTTTTCCCATGGTACTTGCTAGTGAATGTATCCAGAATCAGCTTGAAAAGCTTTAAGCAGTTAAAGAAATAGGAAAAAACACACACACACAAAACCAACACTTTGTCGACACTGAAATATCGATAAGTGCCTTAAAACCTCTTTAGATATAGCTATGCAAGTTTTGTACGTTTATGTTCCATTCGATAGCCGTGTTGATCTTCTGTCTTACTTTAAGAAACTGCACTGGGAGGTTATTCACGTAATTTTTTCAGGAACAGCTTGTCAATTGCTGTTATTAGAAGGAAAGTACTGTAATGAAAAAATCTCAATCTCACGCCAAATTGAGTAATGCTTTCTGGTCCCTCGTGAGTAGTGGAGCTGCTCTGTGTAGGTGAATCTTAAATAAGACCAAGTGCCCACTGCAATAAAGTAACCCGTGCCAGTCTGTGCCTCGTGTTCTACGTCTCTCCTGGATCAGCCCACAACCACACTGACCGCGGGGAAGAGGGACAGGAGACAAACGGCTTAAAACCCCCGCACAAAGAAGCAAAAACCTCCGTAGACCAGCATTTCTTTATTTTAGCCAAACGCGTGCCCTGTGCTGTCCTGCGGGTGGCACTGGCTATGCTGAGAACAAGCGCCACACGGCTCCGCCCTCTGGTGTCCGATGACTCAGCTGTGCATATGGTCAAAGGCAGAGGTAGGCGCTGGCTGCGGTCAGCCCGATGGGACGCGCTGGCTGGGGGCATGCATGTGAACCAGCTGTTCTTCCAGGGCATCCTGACTCATGAGGCAACCAAAATTGGCTTCAGGCACTTTTTTTCCATTTTCCTTCTCTTCTCTTGTTAGGAAATCATGCTGTCCAACCAGTCTTCAAGCTCTTCCTCAGTAACGGTTTTTGATGTGCTGGGTTGCTCAGATTCCGCGGTCTCTTCTTCCGTCGCAGGTGGTTTTGCAAGAACTAGAGAAATAAATAAATGCAATGTTACAGCTTCACGTTAGTCCCGAGCCTGAGGGGGAAGCTTCCCTGGGGTTTGTCCTATGACATAATTCAGCCATAATTATAATTACTTTGCTTACAGCAAGGAGAAACATTCTATTACTGTTCCTACTCCCTAAGATACAATCATATCTAAACAAATTAATACATAGGGTAGAAACTGGCTCCTCGATTCTCAAGTTGAATTTCACAGTTCACTCGTTTTTCAAAAAGACCAACAGCTCAGTTTTCCTTTTACTATTGTAACCAGCCTGGAAAGTCATTAAAGGTTCTTGGCTGCAGAACAGGGCGAGCCAGTCACCCTAGGCTGCCCTAGCAAATGGGACCCCTTCTCCCAGAATAGCACAGATGAGGCGTGTTCTTCTCTTGTCTAAAATAAAATCAAAATAGCCAGCAAGACGTAGGCGAGTTAGTTAACTGGGCTGTGCAGACAGTCGATTAAAACATCTACTGCACGTGCCTTTTCGTGGCGCGAGTTCAATCCGCAGCCCCAGGTTGAACCCTGCCACCAGGCAGGGAGCCCCTTGGGAAGCCCAGGGCAGCCAGTGAGAGGAGCCTCGTCAGAAAGGGCCGCTCAGGGCAGCGGAGATGTGAGCACAGATGTCGGTGGACCAGGCCAGGTCGATGGCAGACACCAAGGAGATGTGTCCGGGTCGGGCACTGTTTTCACAAAAGCACCAGGATCGAGGAGGAGGAACACAATGAAAACCATACCTTTTTCTTCTTGAGCCGCCGCCTCCTCTTTCTCAGATTCCAGGTCCTGGGGTGTCTGGTCTGGTAAGATGTTATCTCCCACTTTTACAGGCGCATCTAAATTAAGCAGCAGGTCTAATTCTTCTTCCAAAGGGTCTGCCGCTGAGTGCGGTGGGGAAGCGGGCTTCTGGGAACCCTCTGCAGGGCCCCGTCTTGGGCTGTCTTTACTCGGGTACATGGGGCAGCCAGCAGACCTCAGCTCGGACCCCTTTCCTCCAGGCCCCAGCGGCCCTTGTAACTGCATGCCTAGTCCCTTGCCTTCATCGCTTCTCTTTGGCTTCACCTGAGGAAGCTCTACAGGCAGGGCGGTCTGAAAGAGAAACATAGTAACAGCTGGAAATATGAGTCCTGCCACCTTTGCTTCAGCAGAAACAAAAGCTAAGGAAGCCACCAGCTTCCTTCGAGTTGGAATAGGAAACAGTTCAGACAGGAGTTTACAAAGGGTCTCTGGTTCTGGCCTGAAACGGGGGACTCGGAGCACCCAGCTTCCCGATTGGGGTAAAGGAGGAGAACTCCACAGGGCTGCACCCCCCACTCGACCCACCTCGGCCCTCTGCTAACTCGGAGTTGAAATCAAAAGGGCCATGTCTGCGATCAGGCCTGAGAAATGACAGGGCCATAGGTCTACCTGAATGTGTACATAAAACTGTGATGAGACTTATTTAAACCTCTGCAAAAGGACTGAGAAGTAACTAGCAAATCAGACCTGCTGATATAAAGGTGAAGGGGCAAGTTCACCAAGAAGAAAGGAAAGACGGACTCTCAGCGTTGAGTAAAAAGCACCAGACAGGAAAGAAAATATGCCCTCTGATTGCATCTGTAAACAGGCAAAACCGGAGCGTAGGGTTCGCAGTCCGGACAGTGGTTTTAGGGAAATGGGGACTCGGAGTGGCGGGAGAGGGGTGGCTTCTGTAGTGCTGGCCACCTCCTGACTCGGGTGCCAAGCCCCGGCTGTAACTACTATCTGTGCATGTGCTTTTCTGCAGTTGGGTTATAACTGAACAAAAGGTGGATCTCCCCAGGTGATGGCAACGCAGATCTAGGCTGAGAACCACTGCGCGGGGGGGGGGGCCTGGAGGACCGGCGTGGCATCAGAGTGGACAGGTTTGGAATGAAGTTCAGCTACTGTTGGCGGCACCGCCCCCGACTTGTACAGTTAAGCATCCTGAGCAGGTCCAACTTGCTAATAACTCTTCGGAGCTTTGAAGACAGTACGACCACACACACAGACTCAAATGTTCGCATCGCCCGGGCGGAGCCGGGGTCCTCTCACCTCGTCCTGGAACCCTTTTGTGGCCGGTGTCTGGCATTGGTTTTGTTTCTCACCTCCCCGGGGCGAGGGGGTTCTGTGCAGACGCAGCTGAGAGGAACTGCTGTCTGCCAGGCACAGAGGGCCGCAGGGGACTGTCCCACGGTTTAGCCAGGTGTTCAAAATCACCACAGTCACTACATACACCTTTACCCTGAGGCCTACCGCCAACACAGCCTTCGCTTTCAGATGCTCACACTTCTGGTTCGCTCCTGAGTCCTGGCCCCCATCACCTTCACCTCAGTGGTCCCCTGATGTGTTCGTTAACAATTCTGCACCGAGTGGAACCAAACATGTCAGAACCGTGAACCCCAGGGGCCCAGCAGGGAAGGCAGCACTCTCCCCGCCACTGGGACACCCCAAAGCCCCCCGTTCCTAAAGAAGCCTCGGGAGGGTCCCCGGCAGAGGCCAGCGCCAACCTCCCCACTGCCCTGGCCCCAGCTGTCCTGCAGCCCCGAATTCTACTTGCTACACTAAAGGTGAGACCAGCAAGTGCAGGGAAAACGGCGTCACATTCAACTGCAGGACAAAGTTGATCATTTTGGCTGCTGGGATTCTATTTAAAATTAGTATTGCCCAGGATTTCACTTAAAAAAAAAAAATTTGATCAAGTCACAATTATATTTTGAAGTTCCTTATAGTACAGTCCTTGGGCTGTTTCCTCTCAATTGCCACCTTGCATGAAGAGCTCCCAGATGTCTATTTCCAGCCCTTAATTCTGAACTATAAATTTCTACATCTATTTGACTATATTTTCACTCTGATATCTCAGAAGCACAAACCCATAATGTCCAACCCTCACTCCTCCTGGACCCCCTGCCACTGAGTTGCACACAGGCTGGAAAACCTAGAACACTTCTTTGCCTGCTCTTGCTCCATTTCTGCCGTCCAGCAAGTCCTCTCAGAAAAGCCCAGTTCTGTGCCGTGTCTACTGCCATCGCCCTAGTCCCGCCCACAGCATTACCCACCTGGACTGGAGCCGCAGCGCCCCAGCTTGCATCCCCTCACATCCCCCCTCACTTGCTCTCCTGTCGACAGTGCGGTTTACCAGTAAACCCACCCACCAACCCCACAGCCCACTCTCCACCCAACCCCACAGCCCACTCTCCACCCAAGGCCAGCACGCTCTCACTGTTGTTGGCGGTAGCTGTGTTATTGACACAGATCTGAGTGGGTCCTTCTTGCAATTCCAGCGCTATCTGTCCCTTCTCCAGAAAAGCCATTCCCCACACCCCAGAGCATGTCAGGCTCACCGCTGTCGTCCCATAACACACCGTGCTCCTTCAGAGCAACTGCCACAGTGTCCACACCTGTGTGACAGTCGATCAACGCCCATCCTTCCCAGCAGACTGCGCTCCACGAGGGCAGGGGCCACAGCTGTCCACTCGGCTGCTGTGTCCTTAGCACCCAACGTAAGTACTGGGAGGACTACACCAGGCAGACTTTATACTTTTACATACAAGTCATTCAACTCCATTACATTTGATTCTTTAAAATGTTTCAAATATAATAGGGGAGTGAGGGGGGGACCTTGAAACCAATTCATTCATTCTCCCTTAAAACTTTACAAAATGCTATCTGATACAAAACCCTCAGCTTTATGAAAGGAAAAGCTGAGTCTGAGACATCCTGCCAAGGGTTACTTCTCTGTCTCTCCTCTTCTGCCCTAACCCACACCAGCCTGAAGATGTCTTTAGGGTTTTACCTGGACCAGTTCAGCAGCAACATTGAGTCGGAGTGAGAGAGGCAGTTCTTGAAGGGCTTGAACCAGTGACTCACAGTCCACGTAAAATGCTGAATCCTATAAATAAATAAATGAAATTAGTTAATTAAGAAAGAGACATAGATCATACATACACATATGACATGTATTTCTGGTGATGATTACATGTGACCTAGAAATAAAAGAGCGGAACACAAAAGTAACCATGAATAAATCATCCCCTGGAGTGACATTTAACTGGGAGTAGGTCGGAGCATTAAGCACGCTCGGTACGGTCACATCTACATCTCCGCATTAAGATGAGCCGAACCCAGACCACCTCCTCGAGCCGTAGTTCACGCTGTCAGAGCAGCACGGGAACTGGGAACGGGACACTCTGGGACTTACTGGCAAACTGAAAGAAAAATACAAGCTCAGTGAAATGTAAGCGGACCCCCCCCCCCAAATCCAGGCGGCCAACCTGGGGGAGGAGGGAAGCGCCGTCTGGGCAGTGAGGGGATGGCGCACTGAGGGAGCCTGTGGGTGCCTGCTAACGAGAAGGCAGAGGACAGAAACGTCCCTCCAGCCCGTCCGCTGTGTAAGGCCTGCACTAACAGCGCCCTTGGACTCCCTCCCCGTTCACGGAGGTGGTCATATCCATGCAGTGACCTCCCACATGCAGTGTTGGAAAAAACAGTCCACGTGATCACATGGCTTAACACAGCTGCTCTCGCTGCCCTGGCCACCCAAGAGGAGGAGAAACTAAGAGGTTTCTGTAATGACCTCACATTAGAGAACATTACTGACCACCTCATCCACCAAGGACAGCCACGGGCCCAGCAAGAACCATGTCTTATTCTATAATCACTGGCTTCAAGTTAGAAGAAAATCCAGGGCCCACCTATCGAGTCTCATCTCGACCCCACCGCAGGAATGTCTCGGGCAGATGAGTCCTGGAAAAAAGGAACGTGCATCTAAACAGAAAAGTGTCCAGGGAGGGTAGCCCAGCGCTGTCAGTAAAGTGAGAAGTCCAGCGGGCGGCCGGCCTTTCCTCCGCCCCGCACTCCGCCCTCAGTGCTGTGACCAGGCCCAGCACGGCCAAGGCTTTGTTCTCAAGTTTGGAGAAGCTCTCAACCCCTTCGTCAGGCGTGATCCTGAATGCTCATCACATGGGTGAGTCACCAGATTACAGACAGGAAACCTCACCCTTCCCATGGCCAAGGGGTCTGCAAAGTCAAACATGGAGACCCCTGCAAACGAGCTAGAGCCTGCTCTCTGCGAACTGTTGCTGTCGGCTCTCCAGAGAACCGCTGTGCCGTGTGGGGGTCTAACAGTACCCACCATTCCTCTGTCCTTGTTTGCCTCGTGTGCAACATGACGAGGTACATCATAGACGATGGAGAGTCTGTGAGACTGACCACACAGAGGCTTGGGGAAGGGCCAGGCTGTGCTTGTGAGCTGCGTTCTGAATGACGGGCATCCGGCTGCATTTGCTACTGGGATGTCTCCTTCCCACCATCATCCAAGGCCCGGCTGACACATGGAGCCACCCAGTGCTCCTTGCCTCCTTGCGGGAGTCCCAGAGCCTGCCATCAAATGCCACTTTGTAAGACTTGCCTCTCTTCATCACCAGTCTGCCTCCTCCTACGTGGCTAAAGCTGAAGTCCTCAGATATAAAGGGAGCTGAAGTGAACTGTCTGTAATAGTAAATTGTAAATTTTAAAATAGGTATAATTGGCTCTGGCTGGTTTGGCTCAGCGGTTAGAGAGTCGGCCCGTGGTCCAGAGAGACCCAGGTTCGGTTCCCGCTAAGGGCATATACACCTCGGTTGCAGTTTGTCCCCAGCCCTGGTTGGGGTGGCGTGGGTGGCAGCCACTCCACGCGTCTCTCTCATGTCGATGTTTCTCTCTCTCTCTCTCTCTCTCTTCCTCCCTCTCTCCCTCCCACTCTATCTGAAGATGAATGCAAAAATGTCCTCGGGTGAGGACCAAAAAAAAAAAGTATAATTGGAGTAACAGCCATGAATTAGCTTTTTGCTACATGTCTTTAAAAAACTGACAGGATGCCCTGGCCAGTTTGGCTCAGTGGTTAGAGCGTCAGCCTGCGGTCCGGAGAGACCCGGGTTCGGTTCCCGCTAAGGGCACGTACTTCGGTTGCAGTTTGTCCCCGGCCCTGGTTGGTCGTGCGGGTGGCAGCCATTCGATGTGTCCCTTCATGTCGATGTTTCTCACTCTCTCTCCCTTCCTCTCTCTCCCTCCCACTCTATCTGTACAAAAAATGGAAAAATATCCTCGGGTGAGGATAAAAAAAAAAAAAACTGACAGGTTGTTTTGGCCTGGAGAGCCCAGTCCCCATGTCACTTGGCCCACTGTGATGGTCACTGACCGGTTGCACAGCCCGGTCAGCACGCTGGGCCCCCGAGGCCTCTCTGTGCCACCCTCGCTGGTAGAGGGGAGCCGCCTGAACTGTCGGACACAGCCCCCCACTGCCTCTCTGCCTCCAGGGTGCACAGAGGTCTGGGTGTGAGGGTCTGCCATCCTGCAGGCCCCTCTCTGTCCAGAAACCTCAGCAGGCACTGCATCTCTGAGTCTGCATAAAGGTACACTACTTGGTGAGAAAAGAACCTGCTAGAAACTCCATTTTGCAGCTTCAAAAAGCCCAGAACTGCTCTGTCCCTTTCCGGGGAGCAGCCACTGTAGCCTTTACTCAGGAGCTACAGCACCAGCTTCACTCACGTGGGACTCAGGGCCCACGGCCACTTGCCTGGCCAGGCAACACTTGCAAACAGCGGGGGTGCTTTTCTTTCGTTTCTTTCTTTCTTTCTTTCTTTCTTTTTTGCTATTTATCTTCAGACAGAGTGGGAAGGAGAGAGAGAGAGAAACATCGAGGTGAGAGAGATACATCGACTGGTTGCCTCCTGCATGACCCCGACCAGGGCCATTAATGAACCACAACCGAAGTACATGCCCTTGACCAGAATCAAACCCGAGACTCTTTGGTCCACGGGCCAACACTCTAACCGCTGAGCCAAACCAGCCAGGGCTGGGATGATTTTCAAGACAGAGTCTCGGGCCCCACTCAGAGGTGGACCCGGGAGTCTACACCGTCAGAAGCCAGGCATTCAGACACCACTGCGTCTCACCCAGCACTCGACGCTGCTCAAGGACACTCTGCTGAATAAATAAGTCACCATGCCAACAAAAATGAAAAATGGAATGAAAAATAAAGGCAAGTTTTAAAAAAACTGATCTATTGCCCAGCCAGTATGGCTCAGTGGATTGAGCATCGTCCCATGGACTGAGAGGTCCTGGTTTGATTCCCGGTCAGGGCACATGCCCAGGTTATGGGCTCGACCCCCAGTAGGGGGCGTGCAGGAGGCAGCCGATTGATGTTTCTCTCTCACATCGATGTTTCTCTCTCTCTCTCCCTTCCTCTCACTCTAAAAAACCAATTAAAACATTAAAAAGAATAGATCTATTTTTTTCACCCAAAAAAGTTCTCCTCCTTCCCTCCCCTCCACATACGTCCCTGCACTGTCCAAAGGAAAGATGTGACAAGCCCACAATGGACTTAAGGGCCAACTCCCTGTAGGAACAGGAGCCAACAGGGCTAAAGCCCACACCCTCGCTGCCAGGCTACGCCTCTGTCAGCCGCACGAGGACCACAAAGAGACGAAGGTAGCCAGCGGGACGGCTGGGACCCTCTCCAGAGGATGTCCTCTGAGGACCTGACAAGTCCCACTATCGATTCCTCCTTCTTCCTCTTTCTCTTTATTGTCTGTGTCACTGGTTGCACTGGGGATGGAGGGAGCAGGGGGGCGGGGGGGGTGGACATGTATGTATGTATGTATGTATGTATAAATTCCTGTCTTTTTCTCTCTCTCAAGTATGCAAGAAGAAAGAGGATTTCAGTGGGACAGAAAGCAGTTTTGATGGGGAAATGATAAATTCGGTTTTCGATATGTCCTACTAGTCAGGACCTCCACTCAAAGGTTCAACATCAAACTCGCCCTCTTTCTCCTTCTTTTGCTCTGTTATCGGCATCACTACTCACCTGGTCACCCGCCAGGAAGCTCAGCAGCTACTGCAAACCTCCCCTGTCCTCGTGTCTCACACTTGGTTAGTGACACGCTACACTGTCCCCTGCTGAAGTCCCATCCATCTGAACCCCTTTTCCACCCTCCGCCTCATGTGGCCAGGCCCTCATCCTGCCCCAGCCCCCACATAACCTCCTCCCTAACTTCCCAGCCTCCAGCCCAGCTGAGGGCAAACCCTTTCCCAATGCTGAGGGCAAATCTAGCCATTCCCATTGTCTGACTAAACGAGACTTTCGTTAACAAATAATAGTCATAAGAGTTCATTCTGAGTGTTTCATGCATGTCAGGAACCGTGCTGAAATGCTTTTATTATTGGATTTAATCCTCCATACGGCTCCAAGTCACATTTTATCATCAGTTCCGTTTTACAGATGAGAAAACAAGAGGAGGAAAGGCGTTTTCCCGAGTAGTAGAACGAGGATTCGCACTCAGGTTGGTCTCCCCAGAGGCTATGCTCTCCCCCACAGGCTAAACTGCCGGGAGGAGAAAATGGAGACAGAACTGCTGGTACTAACCAGCCCAGACCTGCCCGAGGCCACCGGCTCCGGCAAAACGATGCTCCAGGTCACCCCTCGGGTCTCCTGTTACTGCTTCCCCCCAACAGGACCGACCAGACCACACTCACCACACAAACCCACTTGGATGCTCTTCCTCCCAGGACACCACTCTCCGCCACGTCCTGCCCACAGCCGGTCTCTCACAGAATTACGTGAATTCATTTATTCCACCCCTTATTGTATGTTGTACTCTTTTTCATTTGTTACATAAATATGCACTGATCATCTACTATATGTTAGCCACTAAGGGGAGGCGTTTAGGGCGATCAACAAGCACGGTCTCTGTCTTACTCATCTTTGAATGAGCTGCATCCAATAAAATACTGAGTAAATAACAGGTGCTCAGTGTTTTGAGGAGTGAAGAACCTTAAAATTTTTTGAAACTCTCATAGGAATTGAAATTTTCTCTGACTGCCAATATGGTTCAAAAGGAGTTGAGCCCCGGTCAGTATGACTCAGCTGGAGCGATGTTCCAGGCACCAAAGGTGTTGGGTTCCATTCCCAGTCAGGGCGCAGACCCAGGTTGTAGGTGTGATCCCGTCAGGGCACATGCGGGAGACAACTGATCGATGTTTCTCTCACCTCTCTCTTCTCTCTCCCCCACCCCTCCTCTCTCTAAAACCAGTTTTTAAAAAACAATAAAGGAGTTGAAATGTGAGTTGCTTGGGTTTCACCCTTTTTGTCAATGACCTCGGTTTGTCTGTTTTCAACATGTCCTAGGATTCTAAACTCTATCTCAGGCATATGCCCAAAGAGATTTGGGCAAAGACAAACATGTTTCATTCCCAACTCTTTGTATCATCCATACTCTTTGTATCATCCATACTCTTTTTTTTTTTTTTTTTTTTTTAATCCTCACCCAAGGACATTTTTCCATTTTTTGTTCAGATAGAGTGGGAGGAAGAGAGAGAGAGAGAGAAACATTGACGTGAAAGGGACACATCGAGTGGCTGCCACCCGCACGACCAACCAGGGCTGGGGACAAACTGCAACTGAGGCACATGCCCTTAGCGGAAACTGAACCCAGGTCTCTCTGGACCGCAGGCCGATGCTCTAACCGCTGAGCCAAACGGGCCAGGGCTGTATCATACATACCCTTTGCAAAGTGACAGGCAGTCCTTTTCAAGTAGCTCCGTCTGCTCAGTTCATATAGGATGATGTTCATCTCAAACAAGTAAATATACCACTACCCAGAGATAAAACAAGTCACCTAGAGTGTGTGTACGGAGCTGGTAGCAGAGTGGGGAGGACGGTGCCTTACCTCTGGGCCAGCTGCTCAGCCGCCTGTCTGAGGCTGCGGGCAGACTGTCTAATCACTGTATCAGACTGTGTGCCCTGGCCCTGGAATCAGGGAGCATATGACAAATCACCAACAATTCTCTGTGCATTTTAAAGGGGTGAAAAATACCTATCATCTCTCATATAAAAAGAATCAGTGATATCGTGCTTGAAAAATAATTAATGCTCTTTAGGAAGAAAATGTGGCATGAACACAAAGCAAATAAAATATGTGGGCTTTATGGCGTCACTGAAAGACATCTATGATACTCGTTCTTGTTTTATAGCTTTATTCTCCTAATTCTGGAAGAAGGGTTACTTAAACCTATAAAGGATTCTTCTTGACACCAAAAGCAATGTGGCAAAAAAATTAATTTTCAACCCTAAGAATTTTCACAGAAATGGAAAAGAGGGAAGTCCAAATGGCAAAGAAATCCACTTGAAACCATGAATCTAAACTTTCTACCTTGCAACCTAGTCTGTGTGAGCGAGTCAGACAGGTGGGCAGGGTCGAAGGTGAAGTTGAGCTACAAGCATCTGTAAACTTAAGCTCCCCGAAAATGTTATGAGCAGTTTAGGCAACTGAGACTAACTAGACATGAATTACTAACCTTTTTTCTAGGCACAGACTCTATCTCAACAATAACATCAGAGCTGTTCGTCTCCGACCTGGAGAGGAGTCAATTCCCCCCGCATTCAAGACGAACCATCTTACCTGCTTTGGACATGAAGCTTCACCATCCCAGTCTTTCTCCTCAGCAAACCGGAACTGTGAGAAGGAGTCCCCTAGAAGCAAGAAATAACACAACTTTATGCAAAAGCCAAAGGAAAACACTCAGTTGTCTAAACTCCCCTTTTGGAAGAAAACTGCCATTTCTCAAGAGCTAGCCATCCTGAATTCAGAGGTATCCTTCAGTGGAAGGTCCCGGTCTCCACATCATTACACAGCCATCTGTCCTGGTGGGCCCCGGAAAATACTGTTGGCAGCCACACTTACTGTCCCAAGCAACTCTCATAAGCCCCCGTCCCACGTGCTCCTTGAGAGACGAGGGAACCGTTCAGGCTATCTACCCATATTTAGCATGTTTTCATCTCCTCCGCTCATGGTGTGCAAGGAAACTAATATTTATGATTCCGGGGGTGGGCACAGCAGAAAAGGAAGAAGAACGGGACCGGCGGAAAACAGTTCTAGCCTGATCCACAGTATGACAGACTTAAAATATCTCGTGGAGGAGAGGTCATGAACCTCTACCATCACTCCGAAAATCATCTGCTTAGAATGTCAAATGCAAGGTAAAACTCAAAGAACGTGTCTTAGGTTAGTTCATGTGACCCATGCATGGTACACCGCTCTGAGCCCTGGGAATCAAGGAACATGATCATGTATGATCAATAAAAGGAGGCATGAAAGACAATCCTGTACAGCAAGTTATGATACAGGCTTGTTTTGTGTGTATACTTATCTGATTATCCGCATTAATAACAGCTCATTTATAAATGAAGAATTATTTCTCTGCCTAGCTTTCAGAATCCTCCAAAATGTGATCCTGCCTCATTAACCCACATTTACTTGCTATTTCTTCAGACTTTCTGCTCCACAGTTGGCCTTTTTCACATTGCAATCATACTTCGTATTCCATACTATCCTCATTTCTTTTTTAATCTCTCCCTCTTGTCTGGAAACCCACACACTTCCACCCAATTCTATTCTATTTATATTTCGAGAGCTCAGGTACAGCCCACTTCTCCTGTGATACCTCTCAGGTGATTTAACCATATATCTACTCTTTATTTCTACATTAAAGGAGGGGTAAAGAACTCAAAATTAAAGAGACAAAGATAAATTTAAAGATAAAACCTATACCGCCCTGGCTGGAAGACTCAGTTGGTTGGAGCATCATCCTATACACCAAAAAAAGGTTGCAGGTTTGATTCCTGGTCAGGGCAAATGCCTAGGTTGCAGGTTCAATCCCTGGTCGGAGCGTGTAAGGGAGGCAATCAATTGATGTTTCTCTCACATCAACATTTCTGTCTCTCTCTTTCTCTGTCGCCCCCTTTCTCTCCCTAAAAATTAATAGAAACATATCCTTGGGTGAGGATTTAAAAAAAAGCCCTGGCCAGTTTGGCTCAGCGGTTGGAGCGTCGGCCTACAGACCAGAGAGTCCTGGGTTCGGTTGCCACTAGGAGCACGTACCAAAAAAAAAACAAAAAACCTACACCTGTCTCACTAATTTCAAAACACGTGGATCACAACATTAACAGTTGACAAGATCAAATTCAAGGCAACAAAGATAAAGAACAATATTCTTTATTACGAAAAGAAGTAAAATCACTACTCTTAGTCATTGGTAAATCGATCTGATCCATCAAAAATTATGATATGAAGATTCTGAATAATATAATTAATACGGTCTTGTATATGGATGGGGATGTATGTGCATGTGTGTGTGTGTGTGTGTTGTGACAATACTATGTACTTTATAAAAACCTCAATAAATCCTAAACTGTAACAGTCATACAAATCATACTCACTGCTGAAAAACATCTGTGCCACACACTAGCAAAGAGCGTCTCTTACATACAAAGAGCTTTTGTAAATCAATCAGAATAAAATCACCTAATAGAAAAACAACAAAGAGGTGAGAATAAGAAATATGAATAGCTAATAGATATGAAATAAATAATGAATGAATCAATTAAAAATCAGTCTGGCTACCTGATATCAAACCATATTACAAGGCTACAATAATAAAAACAGCATGGTACTGGCATAAAAACAGACGCATAGATCAATGGAACAAAATAGAGATCCCAGAAATAAACACACATCTTTATGGTCAATTACTTAAGGCAAAGGAAGCAAGAACATACAATGGAGTAAAGATAGTCAATTCAATGGTGTTGGCAAAACTGGACAGATACATGCAGAAAAATGAAATTAGACCACCTTCTTACACCATAAGCAAGAAGAAACTCAAAATGAATGAAAGACTTAAAGGTAAGATTCAAAACCATAAAACTCCTAGCAGAAGACACAGGCAGCAAAATGTCTGACATTTCTTTTAGCAATTTTTTTCTACTATATCTCCTCAGACAAGGGAAACAAAAGAAAAAAACAAAACAAATGGGACTACATTAAATTTAAAATATTTTGCATAGCAAAGAAAACCATCAACAAAATGAAAAGACAACCCCCTGAATGGGAGAACATATTTGCCAATGATACATCCAATAAGGGATTAATATCCAAAATGTATAAAGAACTCAAACTACTCAACACCAAAAAATCCAATTAAAAATGGACAGAGGACCTGAACAGACACTTCTTCAAAGAGAACATACGGTTGGCAATAGACATATGAAAAGATGCTCAACGTCGCTAAGGATCAGAGAAATGCAAGCAAGTAAAACCACAGTGAGATATCACCTCACACTTGTTAGAATGGCTGCATCAGTGAACAAGTGTTGGCGAGGATGTGGAGAAGAGAGAACCCTCGTGCACTCACTGTTAGTGGGAAGGCAGATTGGTGCAGCTACTGTGAAAAACTGTATGGAGGGTCCTCAATAAATTAAAAATGGAACTGCCTTATGACCCAGAGATTCCACTTCTACTATATCTGAAGTGACCCAAAACATTGATTCAAAAAGATATATGCACCCCCATGTTCACTGCAGCACTGTTTATGATAGCCAAGATCTAGAAGCAACCCAAGCGCCCATCAGTAGATGAGTGGATAAAGTTGTGGTACATATACACAATGAAATATTACTCAGCCAAACAAAAAGAATTAAATCATACGGTTTTTGATAACATAGACCTAGAGGGCATTATGTTAATAAATTATACAGAAAAAGGCAAATACCATATGATTTCACTTATGTGTGGAATCTAAAGAATAAAATAAACAAAATAGATGCAGACTCATAGATGAGGAGAAAAGACTGATCGTTGCCAGAGGGTAGGAGGGTTGGGGGATTGGGTGAAAAAGATAAAAGGATTAAGAAGTACAAACTGATAGTTACAAAATAGTCACAGGATGCAAAGTATAGCAAAGGGAATGTAGTCAATAATATTGTAATTAACTACATATGGTGCCAGGTGGGTACTTGAAATATCAAGCAGAGATTACTTCATAGAGTTCTGCTTTTCTAACAACTATACTGTATACCTGAAACTAATACAAATAATATTGAATGTAAATCATATTTGAAAAATGAATTTAAAAAAAAATTGAAAATGGCAATAAAATCAGACATATTCTTAAAAAAATAAATAGGCAGAGGTATGGATGCATGGAACAGAATAACAGAGTTGGGGGGAGGCAGGAAGAGATTAACCAAAGAATATATATATATATATATATATGCGCATAACCCATGGACACAGACAATAGTATGGGGCAGGCTGGGGGGGGGGGGGTTGGGTGGAGAGGGGCAAAAAGGGAGAAAATGGGAGACATCTGTAATACTGTCAACAATCAAATAACATCAATCTGGTAAATTTGTAAAACTTAACCAAGTAGCTGAATGCCTTATTCAGTGTTATCTCTGGCATTCCTGAACTTCTATATTATAAATAATCCTATGACTGCACAAATTAATATTATACATAGTCAGCACAAGATAACAGTAATGCAAACAAGGCATGCTGTACGTATTTAGTACCTGAATATTTACTTTCAGATACAGGTAAGATTCCAACAATGGCTAACTAGCTTGTTGCAAACTAATCCTCTTGCTGCGAACTAGGAACACTAGGCCAAAAAAACCAAACTAAAACAAAAACAAAAAACCCACTATCTTAAGACATTAGAGAACTACCACAGCAGTGGGGGCATGCGGGACAAAGGTCCAGAGAGAGAAGAGAAGAGCAAGGTTAGTCTAACATTCAGAACTGCTTTTCCCTTTGAGGCGTTTGTTAATTTCCAAAGGCGGGGGATGAGAGATGAACAAGTGAACATGAAATAACAAGCAGGTAGGTTGTGAAGCTGCAGAGAACGTGTGCTAGTCTTATGCCTGGATGAACAAAAACTGGAGTTCAGGGCTCGTGGATGAGAAAGAGTCTCAAAAAGTGAGGGCTTTCACGTGGGACCCTTGACACTACATCTTGGAGTAGAAACCATGTAGGAACCGGCCAGCCTCACAAAGTCGGCAGCAAAGCTGTCAATCGGCTCGGTTTCTAATGCTGCCTACAGGGAGCAAAATCCTTCTTAGAGAAAAATGACATTATCCACATCCTAGAATGATCTCTCTCTTTTTTTATACACAGTATCCAAAAGTCATTGAAAACCAGCAGGAGTATCAGGAGATGAGAACAAGTTACTATGAGAAAGGGAAGAAAAACAAGCTCCACAGAAGTTCAGGTATTGGCGTGATCAGACTTGCATTTTGCAATGTAAAAATTTTAAGACTAAGAAAAACTATAAAATCATACACAGTGAGAGCCATGAAATCATCTTTAATTCATAAAGTGCCACATAAAAACACACAAAGAAATAAATCTTTGAGAAAAACGAGATACCTAAAACACATTTGTTTACAGTTATCAAACAACCCTAATAAACACAGCCTCAAGTGGCTGATTTTGAAAAATAAGCTTGTTAAAAGGACTCCTGAGGAACGTCAGCCCCTCCAGTCCTCTCCCTGAACATGAAGGAGTGTTCAGACCCGTCAGAATGATGAATCCGGGAATCAAGAGTGCTCGGGAAATCATGTTACCAGAATTCTTCTTCCTGAACGGTATCACGACTTGCACAAGGACGAACGGTGGCCGCGTTACCAGATGT